GGGTAAACTATCAAATCGTATAGTATTAGAACACATCAGGTTTTCCACACGTTCTTCGCTGATCTTCAAAGGACTCGGAATTATATGACAAACCATTTTAAGGACAGCACTTGATATGGGAAACCATTGCGTAAATATAGTGTGCAATTGACTTCTAGAGTCAGAGTGATTGAGATCACGTGTTGTAAACTTTATGCCGAGAGATGTTACGATCTTTTGTATCATCTCTTTGTCGCGTCTGTTGACCACCGCTTCGTAAATGGCGTTAATATTGTCCAAAACCATTGTCACAAATAATGGTTTCTTGGCCTTCGAGAGCGCGCCTTTCATTATCTTCTTCTCCTTGGAGTTCAAGTAAAAGTCGCCCCAAAGGGTTCGGTTCAGCACTTCTTCTTTGATTTGATATTTAGCCGACAGAAAACGGCTGAAATCACTTATAGTGAAACCCCAGCCATCGATAGCACTTCCAAACACAACATTTCCTGTTTCGGGAGTGAAGTATAGAGTAGAGTCGTCCGAATCCTCCAAACCGGAGCTCCAATCATAGGTGTCTTGTTTGGCGTCCGACTGATCGAGTGGTTTGTCGGGCACTGTATTTGTCTCACATTTTCCTAACACATCGGTAGTGAAGAGTTGTCCCAAAAAGGCGTTTATTTGTTCCAATATTTGCATTAAATGCATATAAATATCCAAAGAAGTCATCTTTCTTTCGACAAACAATCTGTCGATTTTGTTGAGAACCAGAATTGGTTTCAAGCGTTCAATCCATGCCTGTTGTAAAACACTGCGGGTCTGACTGCAGACCCCCTCCACCACATCCACCACAATAATACATCCGTCGCACAGACGTATAGCCGTCGACACTTCGCCCGAGAAGTCCACGTGTCCGGGACTGTCCACAACATTCACCAAATATCTGTCATCACCTGTCAATCAAATACAATCAGTTAATCACTACAATTAGGGACTGAAGGGGACAACTGACCGGACCGGTAGGCAAGCGATATAGCGCTGCACTTCATGGTAATTCCTCTCTCCTGTTCGTCTTCACGACTGTCCAAATATCTCAACTTTCCGGCCATTCGTTCGGAGATAATACCATTGCTGGCGATCAACGAGTCAACTAATGTGGTCTTTCCTTCAATGGCAAACAAAGTAAGCAATAAGTGATGGTCGGCTCAACTCATCCCATGTCACAAACCGTGGTCCACGTGAGCCAATACACACACATTGCGTATGCATTGCGCCCTCCCTTCCCGTGCGTCCACTTCTTGGCTCATTTGGTCCACCAGTGGTTCAATGGTTTGTAAATCACAATCAAAACACACTTTCAATTGAATTGAATACTTGTTTCAAAAGTACTGCAAAAACACATGTCATATAAATGACGGCATATTTACGTTTGTATTGGCAATACTGTACACGCAATGCAATCAATGCATGCATTCCTCTACACATGCATTGCATTACTATTACATAATTGGCATCACTTTATAAAGTTGACAATAATGTGCTGACAATGTGGTGTTAAATGATCATCATCTCTACATCTCTACATCATTCTATATTCACCTATTACATAACAATCTAGTTAACATAATATTATTAGCTTAAATATATAGGACTAATCAAATTTCGGTAATTTAGTGTACATTTACTGTATGAAAAACCCAATTTATTACCAATATTAAATTACCATGATTACCATGATATTACCATGATTAATTTTTTCATATGTTCAAAATAGAGCTAAATGATCAAGATTACATTAGTGCAATTACTGTGATATTGAAGTAAATATTCATTATACACTTTGAAGGGAGTCTGAGTTCTTGGATATCTGAGTTGTGTACATATTTTGAGTCCACAGCGCGTGCGTCAGAGACTGAAACGTTCGTCGATGTTCTAATGGGGGGAAAGCACTCTCCGGGGGAAACTCAGACATCCAGCAACTCACATTGCCTTCAAAGTGTAACTTATAATTTATAAGCGATATATTTTTTGAACAATTTTACAACATTTACAACTAGTGTGACCACCTTTAGGTTTAAGAATAGAGAACATATGACAAAATTTCCTTTAAAATAGAGAACACATGTTTTATGTTAATTTTTCTTTTATATTAAAAAATCGAGATTATTTAATAATAATGTTGACGTAAAATTTATTGTATTAGGTGTACAAAAACGTCAATTGTTAATCAAGAACGTGTCAAATCTTTCAAAAGTTTATTATTGTATAGATAAATAAACATATAATAAATTTAGTAAAATTCTTATCATTTAAAAAAAAGAGCAGTTCTTTATTTTGTTTAAATACAGGTCCAAATAGAGAACTGTTCACAGGTGGTCACACTACTTACAACACTTGTTAGAAACTTGTAACAAGACATGAACACTATATTTGATATTCTAAATTAGAATTTCTAATATTTGATTGCTTATGGTAACTTAAATAAATAGTTACTTAAACTTTTACGTCAATTCTGTTTTTCAATAAATGAGTGAATAATTGAAGTATTTATAGAAAATAAATGAATTTGCTATCAATTATAGCCCATAATATTGTATAACATTATGTTTTACTGCCGCAACTCATCCAAATTCCTAATTCATTTATTTATATACATGTATAATATATGATATATTCCTATAGAATGTATTGACTAACGAATTATGAAATTGAACTTGTAATAGAATTGCTAGTTTTGTACATACTTTATATCCAAATTTGCAAATTACTTCATAAGTTGTCCACAATTACAACTAAATCTCATGAATAATATTGTGTTCAACTATTTTTCATAATATGAAATATTATGCATATCAAAGCTCAATCAATACAATATGATGATTTATCATGGACAATCCAATTAAATATTCTTCAATATTTAATAACTATTATTCAACAACTTAACAAACAATATTATTTAAATACAAATATTCTATTGTATGATTATATGCAAATATAACTAGGATATAATNTTATATGCAAATATAACTAGGATATAATCAAATTAAAAAATAACCTAGTTATAAATAACAGTAAATATAATTTGCATATAGAAAATGTGAATTAATTAAATGAATGTGATATATAGGGGATAAGCCGGTCAGAGTAACATCATATGTGTAATGCGAAAGTGAAAGGTGAGATGTATACCAAAGTATACCAATGGAATCAATGTTATTATAATGATCAATTCTCATTCAATGACCAATACTTATCACCTTTCACCTTGTACTTTCGAAATAAACATATGTGTAATACCCTATACTGTACAGCAATGCCCACACATATGACTACATTTAGTGAAAGTTCGGTTCCTATCGGATGTCAAAACAATGTTATATTTATATGAATACAAAATATGAATGAATTTAAAAAACAATATATTTATAGTAAAAAGGATTGCATTTATATTACGAAAGAGTAGGAAATACTGAATACTGTTCTAAACTTTGAGTATAAAAATAGCTCAACATTTTGTGTCACACTTTCAACACTTGACACTCACGTCAATGTCATGCGCACAACACAAGTGCTGTCTCTTCGCAAAA